TTTTGTTGCATCTAGATAGATCCCTAAAATGTATATTTGCAAATTTTAGTTGCTTTTAGTTTTTCAAACTGTATCATGCTATAAACTATCTTTCAGGAAATTAACTTTTATATTTATTATTGTATCATGAAGATTCCTTCATACTGGTAGAAGTAACTGCAGTTAATTCATTTTGACTACTATATACTAATTCCTTATATTGATATACCACTGTTCATTCATCAGCTTTTCCATTGATAAGTGTATGGGTTATTTTCAGCTTTTATTTTTATGAACAGTAGTACTATGAAATATTTGTATATATGGAATTTCTTGAGTATATGACTGAGTAATGGGTCATACACGAATTTTCAGATTTGAAAGATAATGTCAAACTGCTATCTGAAGTTATTATAAAATATGGAGATGTATCATTTCTAATAATTAGTATGACCAGACTTTTTCATTTTTGCCAACTGAATAGATATAAATATGTAATTGTAGCCTTGGTCTGTATTTCCCTGATCCAAACTGATGTTCAATATTTCTTCACAAGTTTTTTTGTGTTATGTGTTCCTTTTCTTAAGAAGTGTATATTCATGTCTGTTGCCCATTTTTTTCCTATTGGCCTACTTTGGCTTATCTTATTATTAGTAGGTGTTCTTTATACATATTTGACAATAATCTCTCAGATGCATGTTCTTTGAATATCAACAATTTGTAACCTCTCTTTTCACTTTAGGTTATATTTGAATAAACCAACTTTCTCATTTTTTTAATTTTGAGATTAATACATCCAAAATTTATCTTGGTTTATGACATGAAGTAGACATCCAATTTCATCTGTTTTCCACGTGGATTGCCATGTTATTTTCAGATCCATTTACTGAAGAATCCTCCTTTCCTCCATTGATGTGCAGTCATTCCTCTGTCATTTACCAAATATCCCAAACATACGTGGGTCTACTTCTAGCGTCTCTATTTTGCTCCACTGGGCACTTTTTATACCCTTTGTGTCCTTCTGTAAAAATACTGCTGTCTTAATCACTTTATTTTTACAAGACCTCTCTATTTTTCTCCTCAAGAAGTATCCTGAGAATATGGTGATCTTTATCATTTCATAAACTAATTATTTCCTACTTTAATGTTTTAGACCTCTGCTTAAATGTGCCAGCCTCTGTAAAATTTTATCTAATACCCTAGATCTATTTTCCTCTCTTCAGAGCATCCCTCCTGTTACACCCTTTATGCTTGTCATCATTTCTAAATTACATTTTTAGAGAGAGAGAGAGATAAATGTTTACTTTGTTATTAATTACAAGCTCCAAGACAGTAGTGACCACACTTTTCTCATAGTTCCAGGTTTTACCACATAGTGGGCACTTCACAAATGATTTTTAAGAATTACTTTCTCCTTTGAGGCCTTATCCAGAGTAATTGCTACTTCTTGTCCCCCGCTGTGGACCCTATTCACCCAGGATGGCAAAGCCTGGTGAAGCCTCCTTACTCAGACCTTCCTGCCACCATCTCAATATTTAGCAGATATTGTTTAAAAAAAATAATAAGTTACCATGAGCCAATACTCTACTGAGGGGCTTATGTACATCATCTCATTTAATTCTCAAGGCAATCCTATGAAGCAGGATTTATTATGCTAAGGTTCTGATTTCAGTGAGAACACTAAGATTTTATTAAGGAATTTGTCAAAAGTCACACTTTTCCAAGGAGGACATACACAGGGCCCAGAGACATATGAAAGGATGCTCAGCATCACTAGCCATCAGAGAGATGCAAATTAAAACCACAAAGAGATACCACTTCATCATAAACAAATCAACAAACAACAGGTGCTGGCAAGGTTGTGGAGAAAAGGGAACACTAGTACACTGTTGGTGGGAATGCAGACTGGTGCAGCCACTGTGGAAAACAGTTTGCAATTTCCTCAAAAAGCTAAAAATGGAACTTCCTTTTAACCCAGCCATTCCACTGCTGGGATTATACCCTAAGAATTCCAAAACACCAGTTCAAAAAAACCTATGCACCCCAATGTTCATAGCAGCACAATTTACAATAGCCAAGTGCTGGAAGCAACCTAAGTGCCCATTAGTAAATGAGCGGATCAAAAAACTATGGTACATTTACACAATGGAATACCACGCAGCAGAAAGAAAGAGCTAGTGCCCTTCGTGACAGCATGGATGGAACTAGAGAGCATCATGCTAAGTGAAATAAGCCAGATGGTGAAAGACAAATACCATATGGTCTCACCTATAAGTGGAACCTAATCAGCAAAGCAAGCAGTCAAGGAAAATATGACCAGCAACATAGAAAGAAAAAATCGACAAGGATGGGAGAGAAGGTGGGAGGTAGGTAACAGGGAGGGGAAGGGGAAAGATCAGATCAAAGGACAGGTGTGAAGGACACATGGACAAAGCCAAGGTGGGGAAGGTTTGAGGGGGGGAGGTACGGGTGGGTGGGGCAGGGGAAAGTGGTGGCAGGTAAATGGAGACAAATGTATTCGAACAATTAAAAATAAATAAATTAATTATTTTTTTCAAAAAAAGAAGATCAGTTAGCAACAACAATGAAAAAAAAAAAGTTGCATAACCAGTTCAGTGGGGAAAAGGTAAGAATCAGGTTACTCAACAAAGCCTGCGCGTTTAACCTGGTGGTAATTTTGTTACATCATCTGTGAACTCAGATGACATTATTATGCTTTTGCTTAGGATTTGTTTTTCCTTTTCCCATTACTGAGCTATGTTCTTTTTCTTTTCCTGTTAAGATATAATTGATAAATAACAGCATGTAACTTTAAGGTATACAACACATTGACTTCATAGGCACTTAAATAATTGACGATGTGATGAATAAATAAACATTTCTAAAAAACTGATTCAGAGTGGATGCTAATATTAGGTACTTAAAAATTGTTTAAAATTTAACATTTGGAACTGTAAGTGACCTTAGAAACCACCTTGCTCAAACTCTTTGTTTTAATATTAGAGATACTTAGGTCCCAAAAGATTAACTTTTTAAAAGTCAAAATGCCTGTTTTAGCATATTTAGGACATAAAAATTTCAGTTAAGTAAACTTTGCACAGAATCATCTGCCTGCAAATAAAATATATTAGAAACACATGGCACAAATTCCCAAATGAAGTAATAGTAAGTAAAAATAGAAAGTGTAACTAAACCCCTAATGTCTATTTTACATTTATTCAAGACAAACATAATGTACAACACTACAAGTCTTAAAAATAAAGAGAATATGGCTTAATTTTACAATTTAAGTACAAGGACAAATTACTGTTTTTTTCTTACATCATCATATTTCACCTTTTGAGACTTACTCTGAGCATTAAGAACTTAAATCAGCAAAACTGTACTTTTTTGATACCTGTAGAAAAGAATGTCATAATTTTGCTGAATCAGATTATAACAATTGTGTGACTAATCTAGATGTCTCCGTTCAACAAATGATAAAGTGATCATTCCAAACTGATGTAATCCATCAAAAACAATTTCCACTTTCAGCCAAGCAGCAACTTAACTGATTCTAACACAGAAAAAAAGAAGGCTGATTTATTCTGGGATTTTAACCAAAGACCAGCAAATCAATCCACATGTTCATTCATCAAAAACTGATAGACTCATAATTTTCTCCTCTTTGAATAGTTCTAGTATAAAGGTACAAAAGATGCACATAAACTACTTAAATGGGCCTAGGCTCAGTCACTACCAAAGTATTTTTTTCTCAACCTTTGAAGTAGTCAAAAATTACCATGAGAAAGTTAGATTTATTTTGAAAAGAGGAAGATGACCAGAATTTCTCCAGTTGAGCAAGAGCATTATGGCAATCTAAAGCAAATTCACGATGTCCTCAATACTTGTTTAACAAAAATTAATTTTTGGAAATGCTCTTCTCTCTTTCCTAAACCTCATACAACTAAATAGTATCAATGAGATTCTGTTTATTAGCATATGTTGATTAATAAATAATATCAAAATATCTATAATACTAAATGGATTATGTTTATTAAATAAGTGCAAATCTCATGTCAGGAATATATATTCACTCTTCTTAAAGGTACAAACATTTCAAATAGGATTCAGAGTTTATCTTTTGTCATATTTATGAAGAAAGCTTTTCGTAAGCAGAGAATTAATATAAGCTAGATTTCAAGGGAAAAAAATGCTTAATTCAATGAGAATGAAACAATTTCAAGGCACCTTTAAATATTTTAAAAGCACTCATTTACTAGGAGTATTTCAAAAAAAATCTTTCTAGATCTAAAAGTCAGCAGAAAGCATAGAGAAAACTATCTGAAATAATTGCAGGAAATGAATATCTATGACTTCACTTAATAAACCACATACATATATAACTATGTTTCTTTGGAATTCACTCTTCCTTAGTCATTGAAACTGGCCCCAAAAGAGGTAAATATTGAGTTAAAGTGGCCTTATGATGTATTTGAAACTGTCTTTTGCCCTGAATACCGGGCAGCAGTCTGATGACCCACCAGTTGGATTGGCCCCCAGCATATTTTGTTTAAAAAAGTGTTTATTTGTTTGTTTGATTACATTTGGACGTATTTAGGGGTGTCATGTGCATTCCATTTTGCTACAGTTCCCACCATCTCACTTTAGTAGGTTTTCTTCTTTATGTTATTTGCTTGGTCTCTAAGGGATTTTGCTTCTGGAAGCCTATACTTAAAATTCTGTACAATTTGAATGTTCACTGAATTATTCTTTCCATACAGTCACAGAATGTAGGAATTATTAGAATTGGAATGTACCTTAGAAGTGAGTTCACTCTTCTTATTTCTTCCAACAAGATACTGAGGCCAAGAAAAGCAGTGTAGCTTTACCACAGTTAAATGCACATTAATAGTTCTGCCAAAATATTCTTTTAACTCAATAAGCTTAAACAACCCGAATTCTGAAGTTCTGTGCACTGTCATGAGTCACCACCATTCTCTCCTCTCTATAAAAGTAACATTTGCTTCATAAGCACTTACCCCTGAGAGCAGGTAGCAGGGATCTCTCCTTCTTGTCATCACATTTGTTACATTCGCTGAAGTACAGGAGTAAGAAGACATCAACGAGAACCCACATCAGCGAAGTGGCTAGAACCACCTTGCAGTAAACAAACCTCCTCATGTCTTTCCTTGATTTCTAGTTAAAAACTAGACTGAAGACAGATGCTACTGTGATATATCCAAGCCACAGGGGTGAACTCCACGATAAAAGCAAAATGCATCCCACTGTATTAAAAAAAAGAAAAGAAAAGTGTATTACCATACAGTTTGTTTTGCATAAAGGAGATATAACATGAAATATATGACTGACTTAATGTTTCCATATATATCAGCACTTGGTCTTCAAATTCAGAATTAAAAGTCCAAACAAATAAAAGTTGTAAGCAAGTCAGGTGGCTAAAATTTGAGGTTAATCCTAGATATGCTACTAATCTGCTTGGCCCTTAGAAACTATTTGATTTCTTCAAGTTGTATTGTCCCCTCCTTAAATTCCTATCATAACATTCTGTAGAGCACCAGGTGGTCCAGTGATGCAGTTCTGAATTTATCCTGCTTCAGCTCTTTCAAGGGGTCAATGAGGCTGAAATAGAAATCATCCTGGGACACAATATATGATAGAGGCTAATAGTTGGCCTTCATACACAGATAGTCTTGGATCTATTTACTTCATATTTGTGGGAGCCTTTGTAAGTTTATTTTCCTTTATAAAATGAGAAAAACAATGCCAAACCTAAAGATTTGCTATGAAGAGTAAGTACGATAATGCTTGTAAACCATCTTGCAGAAGACAACATTATTAACATATAAAACAAAAACATTCTCAAATTCTCAAAAAGGGCAGTCACATGAAATAAGTCATCCGTTATTAAGCCTTAAAACCCCATCTGGTGTGCACAGAAAGTTTATCTACAGCAGATGTTTATTTTAGAATAAACAGCATACATTCAAAAAATACTATTACAGGAGAAACAACATATTAGTGTAGAGAGAACAATCAGCGTAAGAATTCTAAACAGAACAAGAAAAAATGTGCACAATTATTGAACAACATTCAAAAACATTATAGGATTAATACCATATGCATATTTGTTCTATTTATACTACCTAGGACAATAAGGACCTGGTTAATTCCATTTATACAGTGTGTTTGTGTGTATATAAGTATACATGCATATTTACATATATATGTAAATATATATGTAAACATATATACATAGGTGTATACATATATACATATACAGTGTATATATACACATGCATATATACAGTATATACATGTATACATGTATGTATATATACATACTACCCATTGTGTATACTATATGTATACAGTATATATGTATATATAAATCAAATACATTTTCATATCATTTGCTACATTTAAAAATATGAACTAAAGTATAAATTTATTGATGTGAATAAGTAAGATAGTTTTCACAGATATTGAGGAGGAAGAGCTATTAAATACAAAGACACTAAGAATATTTTATATACATCTCAAAATTAAAACATCAAAGTGCAATTTACTAAGGCACAGACTCTAAATTAATGGCAGCTGACTTTGTATAATAAAGCAACACAAATCTGTTGCCTGTCACAACCTATCCAAACTGGTAACGAATTCAAAATTTACATAAAGTGACAGTTTAAAAAAATTATTATACAAAAGGGGTTCTACCTACTTTCAATATTTCCATACAATTTACATTTATTCAGAATGTTGTTTTAAAAGAAGTCAACTGTGCAAATTTAAGAAATACATGATACTTAGGGTTTGTCTGCTTCTTATTTTTCTTAAAAAAATGCCATTCATTTTTACTTACTTCATTTTGACCTCACTGTTCTGTAAAAATTATAGCTAACCATTGGAACCCAGACTCTAAACCTGATTACAAGAGAAAGATGTCCCTATATATATTTCCTCATACTTTTTGTATACTTTACTGAATATAATGTGAAACAATTCAAGCTATCAAATTTTCTGTCTGTTTTTGGTAGAAGAGGTCCCTTCAATTTATTGTAGGAAAAAATAAGTCCCATGGAAAAGTGTATATAAGACTGATGGTTACCAAAAGCCCATTCTCAGGTTTATAAGGAATACCTTAAAATAAAAGATCCTAATTAAAGTTTCTATATGTTACATAAAATTCTTTATTAAAAAGATTGATATTAATAATAAAGACATAAACAACATTCCTGCCTCCATCATAAAGTGAAAAGATGACTTTAGAGAGAAGGATATGTGATGATGGAAGCAAAGCCTGAAGTGTTGCGGTCACGAACCAAGGAATGGGAATGGAGTTGGCTGACAAACAGGAAATGGATTCTCCTATAGGAACCCATGAAGGAACCAGCCTTGCCAACACTTGATTTTAGCCCAGTGAGATTCATTTTGAACTTTCAACATGCAGAACTGAGTCCTATCCAAAGAAGACGAATTACACTATGGAAATTGTAACACCTGCTTTTCTGGATAGGCTTCCTTCAGAAAATGATCTTTCTATGTGATCTCACAAACACAGCAGTTACAAAGACACCTTGCTCCTTAGAAGTTGCAAGAGCTCCTTCTTGGAGAATGGATAATGCCTCTGAAGTAGCAACTACTGCTTTAGGAACTAGTAACCATAGAAACAGGTCCACAGGTCCAACACCTAACTGCTCACCTCCATCCCCCAACACTGCCCTCAAAAATTTGTCCAACCACAGCCTAAATAACAAACATCTAGTGTCTCCTCTGGATTTTCATTGAATTAATCACAGCCAAGAATATTTCTAAATCAACACATCTACAAGGTATACAAGCTTTCCTCTCAGCACTCTTGTTAGTCAACCTCCCTCTTCTGTGGGAACCACAGAGGTCAAGAATGAGGGAATTGGCCATACAGATGACCTCTCTCAACAGGAAGACAGTGATGCCTCAAAAGAATACGATCCTAGGCAATTTTCAGGCCTTCCCCATGGATCCCCTCCAGCCTGGGGGTCCCCTGAAAATCCATTTCATCCCTATGGAAAAAGAGATGAACATGAAGAAGGACAAGATGAAGTCAGTTTGGCAAATAGTCCTTTGCCATTTGAGCAGTCTTCAATAGAAAATAATTCAGAAGCTTTGATAAAGAAAATTAAACCCAAAGTGGCAGTCGAAAAATTTTTCACACACACACACACACACACACACACACACACACACACACACAGAATCCAAGTTGTAAACCATACCATTGTTGGTACAAGAACAACTAGGAATGGATCACAAAATGGGGACCAATGGATTTTGAACATAGGGGGATTCGTAGAGATAGCCTGTATCCTGGAGAGAAGAAGGTCATTGCCAAAAGCCCTAATTGACATGCATTTATCAAAAAATGTGTCTAAATCACATTCTGACTTCATTACCTACCCTTGAATTGAGAAAACATCAAGAGCTAAGTGGAGTGAATCTGAGACTGCTGAACACAGTTCTACAGGGAATTTTGAAAGAAAATCTCCTTCACTTCTGAATGGGAAGAAATTGACAAAATAATGACTTCGATAGATCTTGGGATTAACAGTCAACTTGAAGAAATGAATAGCATCTTGTTTCCTAATGAGCTTTTTTGACCCAGCTCCTACAAGCTGCTGCTATTTCTCTGTGAGCTCCTCAGGAATTTGCCCTACATTCCACTTTATGTGGCATTTCCTTTTGTGCTTCATCTCCTTGTGAGCTCTTTCTTAGGTAATTTATAATCCTTGCCAATTTTTCCTCATTGCAGATATAACAGATTGTGTTGCTGCTGCTGCACTTTGGGAAATGTTTTGCTTGAACCAGTCAAAAGCAGTATTTTTTACAAAATCAACATTTGACACTATGGCATTCAGTTATTAGAAGTTCATGTTCAAAATAACCAATACGATAGTACTCAGAAGAAATTTATATATACAAGAAAACTAACATTTTTATTATGTTATTCGAGTTCTATAACTTACCAAACTAAATACTATATCAATGAAGAACATATAATCAATAAAATCAGTAGTTTTAAAATCTTGGCAAGATCACAATTCTACCATTTAATATGTTGACTTAGGCACCTGGGAATTCAGTAATATATATGGTAAAACTATTTAAGTAAAACTCATCAATTAAAGCATTTAAGAAACAAAGTATGACAGCATTTTATTGTGTGCCACTTTTTCTTAAAAGGTCAAAAACAGTATTTTCAGCATTTCTCCTATAGTTTTACCAACATGACTTAAAAAACTAACCTTATCATTAAGGAAAAGTTTAAACATATACAAAATAAAAAAATAGTATTAAAAACACTTATATACCATTCACCTAGCTTCATAACTTATCAATACATGACCAATCTTGTTTTACTCCATACTAACTATTCATTCCCTATACACACCAGGATCATTTTAAAGAAAACTGTGGATATTACATATCATATAATCTGTTAATATTTTGTGTAAGATGCTAAATGATACAGGCTTAACAATAAACCAAAATACAATACCTTACCTAAAGAAAAATCAAACAGTAATTTCTTTTTTAAAATTTCATTCTATTTTATTACTTTTATCTTTTTTCTTAAAAATTTTGGGATGATATCAGTTAATAAAATCATGCAGGTTTCTAATGTACATTTCTGTAATACATGATCTGGATATTGCATTGTCCACCCATCACCCAAAGTCGAATCAAACAGTAATTTCTTAATGTCACTCAAGATCCACTTGGTTTTTAAATATCTCCAGTTGTCTCATAATTTATTTTTTAACCTTTGGTTTGGGTGAATCAGGCTGCTATTAAATATATTATAGTTGGTTGATAGGTCTCTTAAGACTCTTTTAATATGTAAGTTCACATTCTATTTCTTTTTATCTTGTTCCTTGAAATTTATTTGTTGATGAAATCATGCCAAAATGTTTTAAAGTCTTCTTTTATGAGTTCAATAATCTCTTATTTAAAATTTGGCTTCACTCAAAATATGAAAATGTATTTTAATAATTAAGTCTCTGTTTATATTAAAGGCAGTACCATAACAGTAAAAGGAAAAAAAGTGAAAAGATGACGTTAGATAGGCATTTTGCCCCTCTGTTCTTCATTTTCTTCAATTATAACATATTTTCTATCCTAGCCATTTCACAAAATATTGTGACTTAAGCAGAATAAAGAATGAGGACATTATAAAAAAGAAAGTATGAAGGATATTATCATAATAGAAAAATATGAAATCACTTAA